TTTTACGCGATGTTTTTTTTTCGCCGACTCTCCTCGCGCCACCTCCGCGCTTCTTATACGGCGCGAGGTACAACCTGCCACCCTCCATCGCGCGATTGTGTCGCTGCAATTCGTCGAGCTGTTTTTGCGCCGCTTTGTTGGCGCTCACCGCTTTGGCCACGCCGGCCGCGCCACCGATCAAGGAACCGAGAGCGCCCAACATCGGTAGAAAGGGCAAGAAGCCGCCGCGTTTCGCCGTCGGAAGTATCCTCCGCTTCTTCCTTCTCGTCTTCGCGCTTCTCCTCAATCCCGTTCCTTTTCTCGTTTTCCTTTTGCGTTCCATACCTATGCCCAGCTTCGTCTTCGTCTTCGTAGCCGCCCATATGGCCGCCGCGGCGAGTCTCTCACCGGCCGTGGAATCCCTCGCGGTGACGCGCTCGCGCGCCCTCTCGGCGAGCCGTCGATCGGCGACGTGTCGCTCGGCGAGCTCGCCGCTTCGCGAATACGCGATGTCGTGCTCCCGACACGCCGCGTCCAACGGATTGATGCCTTCTTCGCCGCGCGCTAGTCTCTTCGCTAGACGCGTACCGGGCCCGCAGAACTGATAACCGGGTATGTGCAGTTCGAAGGGAAGAGCGTTTATCGCGCGATTGAGCAGACCGGTGCCGCGCATTCGGTCGCGGTTGCGCCAGGAGGATTCGCTTCTTTTTAGTTCGAACGGGAAGTCGAAGATTCACCGTTCACAGGGCGAAAGCGATTGCACTCGCGGCAGTCCTTGATGAGCGGCGGCGGACCGTCTATGTGCGTTTGCTGCCACGGACGATTGTAGTGCCGCATGCACGGGCGATATCTCTGCACCTCGGGATCCGCTTGTATATGTTTCGGCAAACGGTCCCACAACAGTTGCACGTATCTCCCAAATTGACGCAACAGAAAGACCTTCGGAATGTATTGCAACTCTTCCACCGTTAGATTGAGAATTTCGTAACCGTCCAACAGTATGGGAAACACACTACTGTGAGACATCTCACCGATGCGCGCAAACGATTCGTTGATTTTAAAAAATAAATTTTTTTTTCTACGAATACGGCGACACGCTCGCGCTACTTATACCCGCGCGCGAGGCGTTTGCGCACGCGCGACGAAACGAAACGACGTCTGCGCTTCCCCCTCTTTTTTTCCAGCGATCGAGAGACTCATCGCGAACGAACCGAGCGGAAAAACCGAGAGAGAAAGAGAGAGAGGGCAAACATGCGATTCGTGCGACGTTAGGAGTCTCGAATCTGGATCGCAGAACGTCGGCGGGGTCGGGCGCGACCGAGAGAGGAAACAGAGAATCGCGCCGGCACGGTCCTCTTCTTCCGAACGTCGTCCGTTGCATCATTTGCGGTCCCTCCAATTGCGGTAAGACGAACGTTCTGCTGAGCCTGCTGGAACAACCGCACGGTCTCCGTTTCGAGAACGTATACGTGTACTCGAAATCTCTGCAACAACCGAAGTATCGATACCTCGAACGATTGTTCGAGCCTATAGACGAGATCGGCTATCACGCGTTTTCCGACAATCGCGACGTCGTTTTGCCCGACGAGGCGCTTCCCGACTCGGTTTTCGTCTTCGACGACGTGGCCTGCGACAAGCAGGACAGAATGAGGGAGTACTTTTCTATGGGTCGACATTCGAATATCGATTGCTTCTATCTCTGCCAGACGTACGCCAAGATACCGAAACATCTCGTGCGTGACAACACAAATCTGCTGATCCTGTTCAGGCAGGACGGTACCAATCTGCGAGACGTGTACGACGATCACGTGAACATCGAAATGTCGTACGACGAGTTTCGCGCCTTCTGTCGCGAGTGTTGGCGGCGCACCTACGGTTTCGCCGTGATAGACAAGGACAACGCGTTGCGAGGCGGACGGTACAGACGGGGCTTCCACGACTTCGCCGTGCTGTAAGACCGATCAGTGCGCCTCGTCGAACGACGCGAGTATGAGCGCGATCGCGGAGGAGAGAACCGCGCGAGAGATAGCCAAGACGCGCGCCTCGATTCGCAGAAAGTACGCCGCTCTCAGGGCCGGAAAAATGGAGAGCGAGATCGCTCTGGAAAAGAGGTACGAGCCTATCGTCAAACCTCTGAAACGGCTCGCCGATGACGTGGAACGCAGAGGTAAAGGACCGGGCAAGATCGACGACGACGACGGCGCTAGCTTTGCGTTCCCGAAAAAGATGAAAGCGACGAAGAGAGCGAAGAAGGACAGCGAGAACGACGACGACGACGACGACGCTGGCGCCGACCTGGAGCGCGATTACTGGGAGGACGACGACGTATTCGCGCCAATCGGGACAACCGCGACGGCGGAAAAAAGAGAGTCGCGTCCGGCACGGCTGTGTTCGGCTCCCGCGACGACGACAACCGCGATGAGCTCCACGCCGATCCGTCACGATTCGGTCCAGTTTTTACCCAGAGAACGCGAAATCGTCTCGGAGACGACGACTCCGCCTCCCACGTTGGAGACGTCCGCCGGGAAATCTTTGAGTACAGCGGAAAGTCGCGACGTTCTGACTAGCCAACTAGGACCGTTGGGGCGGGAATACTTGGGCGCTCTTCTGGGCGGCGACAAAAACAAGAAGATCGACACCGTTTACGGAGTGCATTTCGGCGAGAAAGGCACGATGCTGGGAAACAAGCGATTCAAGCTGAAACCGGATGACACCATGGTCATCAACGGTGTACCGTACAAAGGCACGCGCGGCCTGTACGAGTTGATCTTCATGGGAAAACCCGACCCTAAAATCTACACGGAGAAGGACAAATTAACGTACAGGAGCATACTTTTTTCCACCAGCGCTCACAAACGCGGCGGCAAAGCCGACAATCCCGTCAAGGGCAACAAGGGACCGAAGTACAAAAATATAATAGCGCCGCTCGTAAACCTGTCTCTCAGAGTTGGAACTACGAAGGGTGCCGGGCTACCGTCGGCCATGCGACTGACCGACAACGCTATCGATTACGTTCACTGGGACGATCCCAACGAGCTGGTCGATAGACTTCGATTGCTGGACGCCTCTCGTCGGGCCGGCAACGACGCTCACGACAACAAAATCCTGTCGATAATCGAGGAACTTCGCGAGGCCGGCTTCGTCATAAATTGATCGGTCGCGTCGGTCGCGACGTCAGTGCGAGTCGCGCGCCCGCCAGCGCGATGTCCGTGAACAAATTCGGCATGTCTCTGACGAATCGGGGCAGCGGCGACGGAGTCGACGGTGCGTCCGCGGTGAGATTGCGCTCCTCGATCGAGTCCCTGCGCAATTACGCGCGCAACAACGCGTTCTTCGTGAGCGAGGATTTTTACGACGCGAGGGAGCGCAAGATACGAAGAGTGGCCGCGCCGGAGATCGACACCGACGCGACGAACAAGAGTTACGTCGAGGACGCGATTGAACGATCGAAGAAAAGCGCGACCGAAAAATTGAACGGTAAAATCGCGACGGTGGAGAACAAGGCGGAGAGAAATTTGAAGAACAAAATAGCGAAAGTGAGGGACGCGGCGCTCCTCATTCGCTTGAACTCTTTCGAAGCGGATCAGCACAAGATACGACATGTAGCCGCGCCGGAAATCGGCACCGACGCGGCGAACAGGAGCTACGTAAAGGGCGCGATTGGGCAGCTGAAAAGCGTTTTGATCGAAGAGATCAAGAATAACAACGCGATCCGAGAATTGGGAAACGGAATCGCGGCGCTGGAAAGCGTCGCGCTCCGTTTGAAAGCTCAGGATTCCTACGACGCGTCGGGGCGCAAGATACCACGCGTAGCCGCGCCGGAGGTTGACGCCGACGCGGCCAACAAAAGGTTCGTCGAGGGAGCGATCGCGGAACTCGGAAAGACTTTGAGCGACGCGATAAAAGAATTTAAAGAAGAGTTCGTTACCGTGAAGAATACCGCGAATAGGCACGAGGTTGAAATCATCGCGATCAAGACCGTTTTAAAGATTCTCAAACAAAATAAGCGTGGAAAAACGTAGACTCGTCAAAAAATTGCACGCGCCGGCGCGAAAAAATTTTTCTCGCCGCCGCGTCGTGGTGCGCGGTTACGACGATCTGTGGCAGGCCGACGTGGTCGAGATGCGCCCCTATTCGCGCGCAAACGCGGGTCACAATTACATTCTGACGGTCATCGATGTGCTGAGCAAGTACGCCTGGGCGATCCCGCTCAAGAGCAAGGGTGAAAAGGAGGTCGCGACGGCTCTCCGAAAGATCTTTCGCGAGGACGCGCGACACCCCAGGAATCTGCAAACGGACAAAGGAAAGGAATTCTACAACGCCGACGTGCGCAAAATCCTCGACGAGCGCGAGGTGAATCACTATTCCACGTATGCGGTGATGAAAGCGTCGGTGGTGGAAAGATTCAATCGCACGCTGAAAAACGACATGTGGAAACTCTTCACGCTCCAGGGATCGTACAGATGGATAAACTCGCTGCCGCGCCTTTTGTCGAATTACAATCGTCGCAGACACAGAACGATCCGAATGCGTCCGGCGGACGTGACGCCCACCGTCGCCGAAAAACTGCTGCGCACTGTGTACGGTCGCGCGAAGATAGCCGCGCCTGCGAAATTTCGAGTCGGCGATCCGGTGCGCGTAAGCAAATTCAAAACAATCTTCGAAAAAAACTACACTCCCAATTGGACCACCAAGATCTTTCGCATAGCCAAAGTACAAAAGACCAATTCCGTATCTGCTCAAAGACGTTCGCGGAGAAGCGATAGCCGGAGGATTCTACGAACACGAGTTGCTGCGCATCTCCAATCCCGACGTTTATCTCGTGAAAAAAGTCCTGCGCAAGCGCGGCAATCGAGCGTTCGTGAAGTGGCTGGGAATGGACAGTTCGCACAATTCGTGGATAGATAAGGCGTCTGTGTTGTAAAAAAAAAGAAATACTTAGACATTCGTAGACAACGCTTACTTTATTGTCAATAAAAGTTTACACATTCGTCGATTTGTTTCTTACGTGTTATTGATTTTTACGATAAAACAATTTTTAAAGCGTACAATATTGTTTCCCTTTTTTTTACAACGGTATTTTGTAATGTCCCCCACGGAAGCGTCTCCTCGCCGTTCGACGTCACGTATCGCTTGTCGTCGTGCGGACTGAGGGCTAGTTTTTGCTCCGACACGGTGTTAACCTCGTGCAGCGTCGAGCGTATGCACGACTGGCGCGTCTTCAGCTCGCGCGCGTTCCGCAGGCACTCCACGTAATCCTCGAACGTGATCCTCTTCGCGACTACGTTTCTCTTGACGCCCTTTATTCTCTTGGTGTCGTCGCATCCGAGTACCTTGTAGGTGTACATCTTCGCTCTGAGGCCCACGAACTCCGTCATGATCGCGCCGTTGTTCTCGTCCTTCATCAAACCTGGCACCTTTTTGTTGACGCGCGGCATACCGTGCGCGTTGTTCTCCGCGTAATCGCTCGTGTCGAACCTGTGCACGTCGCGTTTCATACGCTCGTACGCGTCTTCGCACTCCAGCGAATAGATCAGACTGTCCGTATCCGTGTAGGCAATTCGACAACGGTCGCGATAGAGCGGCACCATGTAGTCGTAGTGAAACCCGTAGAGACGCGTCTTGGATATCTCGAGAATAGACATACCCACGTAGATAGGCTTGTTGAATTTTACCTCGAGCCTTCGCAGCTCGATCGCCACCAGATTCTCCGAGAAGACGCTCCTGCTGTGAAAGTTCGGCTTAGCGATCAACGCCTCCGCGCCGTATCTCCCGTCCCATCGCGTCACGAGACGCACGTCCACGTGATCGCGCACGTTCTCCATAGTCTTGCCGAAGACGGCGTTGTTTATCAGTTTGTACAAATTCCGTTCGAACTCGTTGCTCGCGCGCGTCCTAAGCGCAGTGTTCAGCTCGATGTAGACGCGAAACCACGGCGACTGGGCAAATCGCAGAACGCGACGAACGCGCGTCAGACGCATACCTAGTCGCAGACATTGCTGCAGGTTTCGATAGTGCGTCACGTAGCGCGATTTGTCGTAGAGAGTGGCAAGCAGTTTTTCCTGTCGCTTGCCGGGCGGTTTGTCGCGCGTCGGGCACAACGGCAGATCCGCGTGGGCGTCGTGCAGGTCCCGCGGGTACTCGAGATCCACCTTTAAAATGTAACCGACGTCGCTGTCCGTCGGCACGGTCGTCGCGTCGAAATTCTCAGGATCGTCGAGCCACTGGAAATTTGCGTAGGGCAACGATTCGCTCGTAGCCCAGCCGTACAGATTGTTCACGTTGTAATACATGAGATACGGCTGAGACGAGTCGTGCGTCGGTACGTGCCTGTTGTTGGCTCGCGCGTACCTGAGCGAACATTGACTGAGGCCGCCGCGTATTCCGCGTTCCACGAACAGCACCATGTCGATGTCGGTGAGCAGCTCGAAACGCACGCCGGTGTACCTCAGCATGGCGTCCCACGTGTACCCCGGCAACGTGTAGTAATGCGCGGGATCAAGCCCGTAACTCGCCGAACACGCGTCCCGAAAATTTTCAAATATATCCGCCAGAAGAAGCACGTCGGTTTTGAGATACAGATCGCTGTACTCGCCGAGATCTCGCACGCGAAAACGTCGCCAGACCCTCGTCGCGTGCTCGTAGTCGCTCTCGCTCGCGGTCTCGTTGGTCAGGGAACTGTAAAAGGCCTCGCGCGGCGGAAGCTCGGTATCCCGCAGTTTGTCCGCGCCGTCGACGTACTCGTACGGAAACACTCCCTTGCAACTGAGCAGATCGAGATCCTCCGCGCTCAAATCCGCGTATTCCGAACGCGTGATTCTCAGTTTGTCCCTGTTCAGATAGGACGCCAGGGTTTCGATACTCGCCGCTAAAAATTTATACGAGTCCACGAATCGAAGCTTCACGTACCGATCCCATTTCCCGTCCGTCTGCGTCTCCTTAACGGTCTTCGAGAAAGATATGTAGCTTTCCTTCGTGAGCGGCAGCAGATCGACCCCGCCCTCGAAATCGTTCGCGATTTTCTCGACGATGAAGTGCGCGTCGTAACCCGACAAATTGTGAAAGAACACGGGAATCACGTAAACGTTTCTGTAATTCAGATTGCAACGAGAATGCGCCGGACCTCTGTAACGTCCGGTTAGGTGACAGTGATCCCGCACGCGCTTGTCCTCCGGTTGAAACGGTTTCCCGCACATGTGACAATAAGTCGCGAGCAGAAATTCGCTTTTCTCGTCCTCCGTAAGTTCCACCATCGCTATATTGGTAAAAAATTTATTCTTAACGCGACGCGCGAGAACGCGAAGCTCGTTCACGAACCACAAAACGCAATCCTCGCCGCGACGATATCTGTACGCGGACGCGGTATCGTCGTAGGTGCAGCACAGATAGTAGCCCAGGCTGAACGGTACGTGACGTTGATAAGCGTATCTTTCCGTTCTCGGGCCCCCCTCGACGTTTTCCCTCTCCCGTCGTTCGAGAAAACACTCCAGATCCGCGTACACCACGAAGGGAAGTCGCTCCTTTCTGTCGTAATTGTCGAAAGACAGCCATTTGTCGCTCTCGTTCGGGAGAACGACGGCGCAGTCGTTCATTCGGCCGCAGTCGACGCTGTGGGCGACCAACTTGTCGCGCGTATAGAAATAGTGTAGACATCTGCGAAATAACGTGCGAGCGATTACTGCGTGTATGTAAAAAAAATAACGCCTCGTCTTTTCCTTGTTCCTCTTGTTTTTTTTTATTTTATTTTATTTCTTTTACCTACCGATCGCAAACGTGCTTCGCGCACCGTTTTGCTGTCAATTGCGAATTCACCAATCGCGACAGATTCTTTATCCAGGCGAAATGGCCCCTGTTGACGCCGCACAGCGTATCGCGCAGATACAGCAGATTTACGTGCCTGTCCTGCTTATCGTCGGTCAACCGCAGAGGCACGATCGCGTTGTGGTCGGCGCCCCGGCCGAACTTAGCTTTCTTTTCAATTTCTTCCCGAGTTGTAAACACGTTGATCGATACGTCGTTCTGACGTTCGAATTTTCCGATGTTTTTCAGATCTATGGGAAAATCGATCCCGTCGAGATTCAGCACCGTCGCGTAATCGGGATACGAGCCGCATCGTTCCACGTGCCGCTCGGCGGGGTACAGAGCCGCGACCACCGCGCGCGCGAAACACGCGTCGTTCTCCGACAGCACGTTGACCATCGCCTTTTTAAGTCTTATACCCAGCGGTATTTTTATCCAACATCCCACGCGAATGGGATTACACTTGTTCACGTTCACGATTAGGTTCAATATTCGCGACAACGCCCATCCGCTGTCGCGTTCCTGAAATTCTTCTAACCGCGTTAGAATCGCGTCGCGCACGTGTCTATCGTACCACTCGCTCAGATCGGAACCTGGGAGAAGCTGTTCGTTCCGCGTAGCGATACTCTTCACGTCGGTCTTAACGTCCGCTACGAATTCCCCGTTGAATATGACGTTGACCTTCAGACACCCGTGTTCGGTCATATTATCCCGCACCTTTTCGAGCACGGTGCCCTTCGCGTCGTCGAGAAATCGCGCGGGCTCGATGTACGTGGAGTTCGTCACAGCGCCGGTCAGCACGCGACGTTGGAACGCCGCGTCGATCTCAATCCACGAGAAACCTCTGTCGCTGCTGCCGCCGCTACCACCTTCCCCTCCGTCCAAGCCGGCACCTACGGCGCGTTCGAATCGTCGACGCAGATCCTCCCTCGAACCTTCCAATCGCGCTATTAGAGCCACCAGAGCGCTCACGGCTCCGGTGTTTCCTTGCTTCCCGGAGCGTTTGACTCGACACTGCTCCCGCAGGAGTAGGAGACACTTGTCGCATTGCCGTCTTCACGCGCGGTACCCGTCCGCGTCGCGGACGTTCGCGGCGAGCAACTCGTCGCACTCTTTCCGCATCGCGTCCAGAAAGGTTCACCTTCGGGAACGTTGAACTTCACTCGGTCGAAAAGACGACGAGACCGGGTGATTTGAATCCTATGTATCCTGCTCTCTCCTCCGTACACCGTCTCGTAATAGAGATAATACTCGAGCGGCAGGCGACGCGTATAATCGCTCGCCCTGACGGAGTTCGCCACCGTCGTCTCTATCCACTTTCGCTCGCGATCGGTTCGCGCTCCTATTTCCCTTCGCAGATGATGGGTAGCCGGATTCTATCGCGCGTCCTCCTTCGCCACCGACGCGCGCACTCGACAACGGTGCTTCGACTCTCGCCGATTCATCGTCCGAATCGGACGAAAACTTAGGCATGGGCTCGCGACAGCGCCATTCGTCGTCCGATTCCTCGGACGACGGATAACGGCGATCGTTCATTCGAGAGTACGTATCACTAATGCTACATATGCACCCCTAACGCGTCAAAATCAAGCTGCATATCTCCATCTGCAGTCCGCCATGTAAATGTTTCAGCGTAATCATGAATATCGAGAAACCTCCGCTGAGATCGGAGATCGGCAATTCCGATTTCGCGACGAATCAGATATCTCGTTACGTCGACGCGTCGCGGATGCCCATTCCTCATGAACAAATCCCCATTTCTTACGAGCGGTTCGCTGATTTTCACGATCGGTTTCCTGATTTTAGGATCGAACGTTGGTTTGCAAAGTTCTGCGTACTCGTCGCTCATATTTTTTTACAAATATATTAACTCTCGACCGCGCTCTAGAATCCTCGTAGAAAATAACCGTTTGCCGCGCCGTTCGCGCGCCTGTTCAATTTATACCCCCCGTTTGTCGTCTCAACGGAAGACGTACCCCCTGCCAGACGCGCTTTTTCCCGGAATGACGACAACCGCTCGCCGCGTCCTCCGAAAAAACCCAGAATGACGACAACCGCTCGCGGCATCTTCCGACGAAAAATAAAAGAAAAACAAAAGGAGGAAACGACGAGAGCGACCGCGACGCCGAATTCGAACGCGCGTTGAATAAAAATTATCGCGAATCGTACGAATCGATCGAACGAAGAGACGAGTCATCTCCCTCGATCACGATTGATCTCAAAACAATAGGAGGAAAATTACAAAACAAAACAAAAGGAGGAAACGACGAGAGCAACCGCGAACGAGTTCGAACGCGCGTTAAAAAAATTATCACGAATCGATCAAACGATGAGACGAGTCATCTCCATCGATCTCGATAAATCGGGATGGGCAGGAAAACCACATCCTGCCCGTCGCGACGCGGATCGAAACGACCTTCGGACCAAGAGTTAAAAAAAACGATGACGAAGACGGGCACGCGAGACCCCCCGCGAAACGAACCACCTAGAACGCGTCGTTCTCCCCCCCACCCCCGAAACGTCCAGACAAGCGACCTCGAACGAGTTCGAACAAGTTCGGACGCGCCCGAACGCGCGCGCGACCGACGACGAAGAAAAAAAACAAACAAAAAATATTGGCCCGCGATTCTTCAAAACGGTCGGTAACGGCGCTCGCGCCGCTTCGAGCGCCCCCTCGAAAAACGCCCAAATCCCCGCAACGAGCCCCCGTTGGCGGCCCTGCCTCGCGCCGAACCCTCGTTGGCAGCCCTGCCACACCCAACCTTACGTCAAATGTTCCCCTCGCGTCGCGCTCCCCCTCTCGCCCAGTTTTCTCTTCCCCCCCTAGCCCCCCCCCCTCCGGTGACCCTTTACACCGTCCCTCGACCCCCTCGCCCACCACTTACGGCGCTCCCCCCGCGGCAGCAAAGCTCCCCCGACCCCGCTAACCGCAAGAAAGATCCCTGGGCCAGAAGTATATGTTACCTCCCTACTCTAGTCGAGTTTATTTTACTCTTGAACTTATTCTTGGTGACATCTTAGGTCTACATAGCATTCTTGGTTTTAGTGAATCTTTTCACGCAAATTACTTCTGCAGATTTTGTTTAACGCATCAAAATGATTTTAAAAAAGTATTATATGAACGTGATTGTAAACCGAGAGATAATAAAAGTCATAATGTACATGTATAAAACAATGTAATATTTCTAAAAGCGGGGTGAAGGAATCATGTGTTTTCAATTCTGTGCCAAATTATGATTTATTTCAAAATATGAGCGTCGATGTACAATACGACTTTTTAGAAGGGATAATTCCTTACGATTGTGCACTTCTTATAAATCATTTTATTAATATTGAAAATAAATTTACTTTGACGCAATTAAATATTTTAATTTAATGTTTTCCTTTTAATAAAAATGAAAAAAATAAACCAGTCGAAATTAGTCAAACCCATTTGAAAAATAAACGCCTTCAAATGTCATCCGCTGAAATGCTCACCTTTGTAAATTATTTAGGACTTATAATTGGTTATTTGATAGATAGAGAAAACAAATATTGGAATCTATACCTTGTATTAAAACGAATTACTTCTATTGTTACTGCTACAGTAATTCATGTTAATGAACATGATTTATTAGCTGCAGAAATAGAAGAATATTTGCATTTACGTATTGAATTATTTTCGGAAAATCTAAAGTTTAAACATTATATTGCTATACACTATCCAGAAAGAATGAGACTATTAGGTCCGTTATGGAACATTTGGTTTATGCGTTTTAAGAGCGAACATCGAGAAGGTAAAATTATTGCACATTCTGCTATTAGCAGAATTAATATTTGTTACACTGTAGCATTATGACATCAATTAAAATTAAGGGGATGCTGGAGCCGTCTGTTTTACCGGCATTTTTTGTCGGCACGTAGCGTCGTATTAATTTGACAGAATTAAAAATCCTTCTCCAGAATTGCAGTACATACATTAATGATTCGGGGAAACTCCAATTTTATATAGAAAACAAGAAAAAATTACGGAAGTACAGATTTCCTTATCCTACTCTTATCCCA